TGGGCAGGGGGCAGGGGCCCGCTGTGGTACAGGCTCTTCTCGCGGCTCCCCACGCGGGTATCGGGAAGGGAGGGCCCGTCAAAGGATGCAGGGGAGGAGGCGGGGAGGGGGCCCCCAGAGCCGGGGTTGAAGGGCCCTCCCCGAGGGGAGGGGGTGAGGCGCCCTGAGGAGGAGGGGGCTGGAGGTGTGCTATAGGGGGGTTCCGGCGGGGACGTGGTGGGTGGCGGGGGAATGTCCTCCGAACCAGGCACAGACAGGCTGCGGCTGAATTTCATGGCTGGGGGTGCTAGGTAAGGTCTGTCATCTTCTGCCGCCCCTGGGGAGATACAGAGGATCAGGGAGGGGGACCCTGGTGGAGAGGGACTCCCTGCTCCACTATCCCACAGAACCGCAACAATACTAATAACAAGAATGGCACCCCATATATGCCAGGAACTTCACGTGGACTCGCCCAGCTCTTCCCTATTTGGGGTAAACCCAAATCTGCCGCATACAGAGGTACAGGTTGTGCACCGCGCAACTGCAAACCGCAAGGTGAGGAAACTGAAATTCGGCGGAACTTCCTCCCCATGCCAGGAGGGGGCGCCGTTTTCTAATTCCGTTCAAAGGCTCAGTGAATGGTTTGGGGCCAGCAAAAGCGGCTGGAGCTGGGAAGGGATAGTCCCTCGTGTTTATGCATAGATGCGTGTTTCTTTTCACTTATATGCAGCAAAGAAGTGCAACCAGCACGTCAAAGCTGTGATTCTACAGAGAGAACCACTTATGATGAGGCTAAAGTTTAAAAGGGAGCGGATTTATAGAAAAAACAATCAGGTAAACGATGAGAGCCAGGTGGACCCCACACTCAGTGGGAGTGCAAGACTCACACTGGTGGACTTTGAACGCCAGGAGTTGGGGAAAAGCTGGATCCAGTCAGGGAAAAACAACTCCAGGAGGTGTGCAGGAGTTAAGTCTTTGCTTACTTCACTGCCAAGGCTCCGCCTTTGACCCTCTTCTCGCCTCTGACTACTCCCTCTCAACCAGTGACCAGCTTCATTCATTGCCTCTCTGCTGTGGACGCCCACGTTTATGCTTGGGGCCCCATCCTCAGCCCCGAGCTCCAGGCTCCTCTATTCAGATACCCACACCCAGCTCGTTGTCTCACAGGCATCTCCGACTCGAAACTCTCCAACCCAATCTCCTCATCTCCTCCCCAACAGACTCCGCCCAGCCCACCGTCTCCCCCTACCACCGCAGCAAACAACAGCTCTGTCCTTTCAGGCGCTAAGACTGAAAACCCTGCAGCCACCCTTAGTAGCTTTCTTCCTCACGTCACCCACATCCAATCCACCAGCAAATCCTGTTGTTTCAAAACATATCCGGAATCCAGTCCCTTCTCACCCCTCCAGAGTCACCACCCTGGGCCAGCCACTATCATTTCCTATCTGGATAGCAATAGCTGTCACCTCTCCTCTTTGGTCCCTGGGCTTCCCAACTCATCCCCTTCAATCTAGTCCCTTCACAGCAGCCAGAGGATTTCTGTTAAAACCGAAGTCAGCTCATGTCCTTCCTCTGTTCAGAGCCTTGGCCATGCACCCACCTCACTCAGGGCAAAGGTTCAAGTCCTCACCATGACTCCCCAGACCCTGCAGGATTGGGACCCTGTTCCCCTCTGCCCTCATGTCCAGTGCTCACTCAGCCCCTGCTACACGGGCCTCCTCCCTGTTCTACAAACGCACCAGACTCAGCCCGACCTCAGGACCTTTGCAGAAGTGGTTCGCTCTGCCTGGATTGCCTTAGCCCCAGAGAGCCTCATGATTCCCCAATTCATCTCTAGGTGTTGTTTGGTTTGGTTTGGTTTTTGAGACGGAATCTCGCTCTGTCGCCCAGTCTGGAGTGGAATGGCGCGATCTCTTACCTTACTCTACTATTTTTTTTCACTTTTTTTTTTTTTTTTTTGAGATGGAGTCTCGCTCTATTGCCCAGGCTGGAGTGCGGTGGCACGAT